CACTGAATATGATATAGTGGTTTGATATACATTAATATTAGTAAGCTCTTTAAAATAAGTACAATATACTTTTTTTTTTTGAATTACAATATTTAAGTTACAGAAGTTGCTTCCCGAGTATTGACTATTGAACTATGTTTCATATTATCCATAGCCATACTTCACATAAGAATTTGGATTTGGTATAAATTTGTAGCTGCAGTCCATCTTTTAAAAGTGTCTGAAGTTGTTCTGCCTCTTATTCACAGTATCTTTATTTGCTGTACATCAGACGTAAATACAAAGTCTGGCAGTGTGTCTAAACCTTCGAACATTTTATTTGCCATGGCTTTTCTGTTTGATAGCTGTGGTATTTCTCATGCTTCATGTGCTGGGACATCTTTCCTTCCTTTCTCCTTATCATCATGAATTCCAGCCTCCCGGACTCTTTCTCTCTCCGTGTAGTAATGGGAATCAACCCTGAATAAAAGGAAATGAAAGCACAAGGTGGACCTTTGATAGCTGTGTGTCTATAATAGAATAGATCTGACGTTTCTACACATCTTTTTTGTATCAAAGTCAGATTTAAAGTTGACGATCCACCATGAAAAGAAACCATTTGTTTCTCTTGTGCTTATCACTATACATATATATATATGTGTGTGTGTGTGTGTGTGTGTGTGTGTGTGTGTGTGTGTGTGTGTGTGTGTTTGTGTGTGTGTTAAATCATATTTCATAAAATAAAAATGGATTTTATATTTAATATTAATAAATTGAAAGATATTTTATGTATTTATTTTATATAATTAAAAATATTTATTATGTGTATAAATGTATATTTTTATTACACATGTACATGTATGAAATTAACAAATAATAAAAATAAATAAAATAATTAACAAAAATAAATATTACTACTGTAATAATACTATTCCATTGTAAAATAATAAGAGCATTTAAGAATACATTTAATAATTAAAGTAACAACAAAAGAAAATAACAAAAAAGTTATCTGAAAAAAAAAATAGTAGACTTGTTGATGTGGTGGGGCATATAACTATAAATCATTAGAAAAGGTTTAAGGTTTTATTATATAGTATTATATTGTTTTGATATAAATCTGTGACAGTGTATTTATTTTGTTATGATGCATAGTATTCACACAGCAAAATCTAATTGTGCAACATGCACATTTGCCGCTTGGTGGGTTGCATTTTCTAAACACACATTTTGGGTCAGAAAAATTTCCTTTCCCCTAAATGAAGTATACTGATACATAAAATGATACCGGTGATATGAAAGGTAGTTAATTTTAAATGAGAGTAAATGGTGCTGGATGCAAATGTGCGGTGACCAGAGCCTGCTCTATTAAAATGAATGGGAATGAGCTTTGCTGATCCATAAACAAACAAAATTATGTGGATCAATAAGCCACGTGGCCACTGAGGCCTTGAGCCTCTGTCCATAAATCTTAGACGGCCACCTGTTCATTAAATTATAAAAGATCTATGAGCCGTGAAATTCTGAAGCTGAAAGATCCTAGTAGTGCCTAAAAATAGACTTCTACAGGCTTTTGTGTCCGTATTGTTTCTTCAGAAGCCTTTTAACTTAGTCTCCGTCCCAGAGGTCACCGAAGATATGCGTTCTCCTTCCCTCAGTGCAAATGTGTCTCTCTTCGTTTTCTTGTCAGAATAATGCTCACACTTCTCTGGAAGATGACACGGAGAGAGGTTTGTGTGTGCTGGAGGAGACAGGAAGTCTTCGCCGTGGCACGACTGGATGCTGACAGTATGCACACAACTCACAATTAGCATTGTGAAGCCACTTGTGGCATGTAAGGAAAAGGCATCTAAAGTAAAATAGATGCCTGGGACTTTTTTTAAAAATCATTCCCATTGCACTTAGGAAAGATTATATTTTCATGCATGGAAATGCATGCAGTTTTGCAATTTCAAGCAGTCTTCTCAATCTCAACACAGAAATGTACACTCACAAGTCATCTTGCATGTGTTTTTAGATAGACAGAAGGCCAGAGTCAATGTTAAGTGCTACAGTGTGGCACATTGTATTCCAAACCAATCGGTTTTAAAAAGCTCTTTCCATCCGGATGGGTTTTTGGGACCTGCGATATAAATATCAACCATCTGTGTGACCATCTGCATTCAGATGCTGCATCAAGTGCAAAGGCCAAACCACCCCAAACCCTCGCTCCTCCATTCGAGTCTTGCAGCATTTATATTTTCTGTGTTGCTGCTTTTCCTTGAGGCAGGATAACCCAAGATGTATTGGTTTTGTAGGAGCCCTTGAGTTGTTCAAATGTGTTTTAGAGTTGTTTTGAATGCAGCTGAACTTTAGGACTTCATTAATGGTGCTGTGCTCCATCTAGGAATCTAGTGATAATGCAATTGATTTGCTATCAATTTGCTCTGGGAAAAAAAAAAAAGAGAAATCTAAAAATAAAAACACAAAATGCAGTAATATACACATTCGGAACAATCTAAATAGATATTTGACAGTCACAGATTCAAGTCAGTAGCTAATTACATGCTAAAAATTGCAAGTATTCCAAGTTAAAAGTACTTGTTTTAGTGTTTATCTGGCACAGAAACACTGAGATTCTCAATTAGGACAGAATAGGACTAAATTGAAGTGGGGAAAAAAAATAGAACACCATCCAATTTCTAAATCTGAAAGCTGAATGGAAAACAGAATCATTTAACGAGGAGTTCATTGTATGTGTTTTTTTCCCCTTTACATGAACTAACTGATTTACTGAAATACATTGAACTTCCTAATGATAAACATAAGAGTGGAGAGTTTACGAGAATGTTCAAAAAAAAAATGTTTGGCATATGAAGCTTGTAACTGTAAATTTTATCACATCTCAAAAGCTGATTTATTTTCACATCACGGTGTGAGAAAGAGTTCTGAGTTCCGAGTCTGATTCTGAGTTTAAATCTCACAATTTGACTTGTGAGACAATTGACACATAATTGAAAGATAAACCTGCAATTCTGAGAGAAAAACCACCTTTTTGTCACAATCCTGATTTTACATATTGAAAAAAAAAAACTGACTTTTTTTTTTTTGCAATTGCAAAAATTTTTTCTTTCTTTCTTTCTTTCTTTCTTTCTTTCTTTCTTTCTTTCTTTCCATGGTGGAAACTGGCCTCCATAGGTTTAAAATGACTAGACTAGAATGAGAGTGAGTAATGGTTTTTGAATTTCCATTTTTGGTTGAATGACGATCACAAAACCAAATGTAAAACAAAAAAAAGTAAATTCAAGAATATGAAAGTGTGCTTTCCCCCACATAAAAACAGAAGTTATATTAAAAGTAAGTACCGGAAATTTTTTTTTGATTTGCTAAAGAGAATGTGCCCTTGTGTGTGTCTCGCGCTATATATATATATATATATATAAGTCCGTGTCTGTAGTCCTGTAGGGACAGGAGAGAACTGAAATGGACTTGTTATTCCTTAAACCTTTAAAAAAAATGAAAGGGAACTTCACAGAATGCATCACAGACCGGTTTCTTCCTAATAAGTGATGTGATTAAGAGGATGGAAAACAATTTCCTATACAGACCACAATAAATTATTTTCAAAATAACGTCCCCTGAGACAAGATCTTAAAAATAGCCTCCAGTGTTCAGCTTATGTTATATCAGGATGCAGATGTAGATGCAATAGATACTGATATGTGATGATACTTCGCAGTTATGCTGATGATAATGGCCAGATGAAAGACAATCCTCAGCAGATCTGTGAGGAAAGGTCGAAAACAAACATGTGTGTGTTCATATGTGTATGTGGGTGCATATATATGACCGTGCTTTTCCGTGTAGGTCAGATGAGGAAGTTCAGGCCTCTTGCAGAGTTGGTAAGTTGTTTTGTGAGGCCAGCATTTCTCTATGTGCCATGCACATGCATCTGCCTCCTCCACACCCTGTTCTTCCTCAAACCCTCCATCTCAATCCTCATAGAAACAGAATAAATAAATCACCAGCCCAAACTGCCTTAAAGGGAACTTGGCAGCGTAGGAAGGTAGTTGAATATAGATCAAAGCTGGATTCTATTTAAAGTCAGTTTTCTAATCATGTGTTTCATGAACTGTAACTGATCATTACATCACATATTATTACAAAATAATATGAAATTATTACATATTATTACTAAAAACGAAAACTCGAAATACGAAAAAATGGACTTTGGCGTGTAAATGGTACGCGATGGGTAGGTTTAGGGTTGTGTGGTAGATGCGTATCATATGTACGCGAAAACTGCGTATCATATGCACGCCAACAAATTTCGTATCATATGCACGCGAAAACTGCGTATTACATATGCCAAAAACGTGCGTAGCATATACACGCCAAAGTCCATTTTTACGTACTAGTAAAAACCAACAAATTTCGTATCATATGCACGCGAAGGAAGTCATTAACTGTAATTAAATTACTTTTGAAAAAAGTAAAGTAAGGGATTACTCCTCATTTTTCAACCTGATCTCATGAAAGTGCGTATAAATAGTACGCCAAATAAAAAACGAAAACTCATGGTATTGATACGCAAAAATTGACTTTGGCGTGTATATGCTACGCGATGGGTAGGTTTAGGGTTGTGGGGTAGATGTGTATCATATGTACGCGAAAACTGCGTATCATATGCACGCCAACAGATTTCGTATCATATGCACGAAATAAAACATGTCTAAATAAAACATTTCGGTAGATCAATTTCTACATAAGTGTACGACATGGCATAAAACAGCAAAAATACTCACACGTGACATATTGTAAAATAATAGACGTGACTTGTATGCAGTAACGCAATACTGTTCTTACACTGTGGCTTTTTGCATCCGCTTCCATCAGAACACATGTGCTGTGCTCCTCTCCATCCAGACAGTGCGAGTGTGCTTCAGACTCTAGAGGTCTCCATCCTTCAGCATCCACACACGCGCTGTGCATTCTTCTGCATCGGCCACAGACTCAGAGAGAGAGAGAGAGAGAGAGAGAGAGAGAGAGAGAGAACACCTCGCAACGGCAACCAGAGACGCGCGTCCTCCGTCAGAACTTTGATGATTTGACGGTGAATCCGATGGAAACGCGGAGATGATGTTCCAGTTCTTGATGATGGATTCGTCTTTCAGCGTGTCCAGATATGCTGTCCTTGTGCTCGTCTCCTAGTAGACTGCTGATCCATTTTTCTTCTCAAATACTTCTGCTCTACTACAGCTTTTTGTGATCGAACACTTGAGTTCGCGTGAAGAACAGTGAAGGAAACGGGGCGCATTGTTTGAATTTTCATTATTATAAAGGACTTCCAGTTCATACAGGATTCGTGATGTCTGCAGCATACCGCTCCTTATTCCTTTGTAAGTAAACCGAGTTATTTATTCCTTTACAGTGTGGCGTGGTGTTTCATGTTTGGACGTCTTAGTTGCTCGTCTTTCTCTAGAATATTGTTCACCTTCAACCATGTCAAATAAGTTTTGGCATGTTTGAGCAGTGGATAAAGTCTTCAATACGAAGGCATGAATTGAACAAATGTAACCTAAGCTTGGTAAGAAGTACAGTTCATAAGACCCCCACCCAGTTGAGTAAATCAAACCCAGATGGTTTTGGTTTTCTGGTTCTGTATTGGGCTCTGATGAGTTACACCCTTCAGACAGACAACTCTTGAAAATTAAGGTTCGTGTAAGGAACAAAAAGGGGTTTAGAGTTTAATGCCACCTTTTAAGTTCAATGGAGAACTTTTTATGCACTAATTCTTTAGAAAACCATCATGATCGGATGCTTTAATAAACCCAGAAACAATGGTCTAAAGAACCCATTAATTAAATGTCAATGCATTTTTAATGTTTTAAACTCTAAAGAACCAGTTTGCTCAACTCAAAAAACCCTGTGCAACCAAAATGGATCTTCGAAAAGGAACCTTTATTTTAAGAGTGTTCCATTGCGTTTGTGTCTGAGACCCCAGTAACATAAGAATACAGGGAGAGATAGTTCAGTGTCAATGTCGTTGCATATATTGAACCATATATCACGACTTTGATGATGATTATGCATCATCCAAATACTATTGGGATAACAAAAGATCGCATTGGCCGATTGCATTTGTGCAACGGCAGAAAATTTAACGTTCTTTGCAGAACGGAACAAAGACAGGGCACGTCGCCCAATCCAGATCTCTTAAATTGTTGTGACATTGGATGGCAAAAATAGATCCTCATGTTAAACGTCCGGAGATGAGCCGGTGGCGCGAGCCGCTGGTGTCCGGTGGGCACGCGGGTCTCGCGTGTCTGCGTGTGCTGGGGTCAGCCCCCGGGAGGATGTGTGAGAGCGTGCACGCGTCCATGGGTCACATCCCGAGTCCTCCACTGTCTCCACCGCTCATTGTCCGATTCTAGGGCTGCACGCGCGTTTGTAACGGGAGTTTAGTGCGCGTGACCCCTCGTCTATTATAATCAATGCGCCAAACTTTGTCCCATCTTTCGTGTCGTCTGCGCGTCTGTATGATGCATGATGAAAGCAGTGTGTATTGAGTCTAGAACCTAACTAAATTGTGTTCGCTAAATGTATGATAATGTGCATTAACATCCCTCGCGCATTCTCCGAGGCGTATTGAGAAGGTCAACGCTGCTGTAACACCCAGAAGCACCAGCTTGCCGACAACATTTCCACACACTGTTATTTTACAGCAGTAAACTAATTCCTGCGTTTAGGATTTCAGCAAAGTGTCATATGACTCCTGCGAATATTGGAACTGGTTTGGTTTCGGAAGTCTGTTTCTGTGTCACGAACCTTGAAGTCTTGATTACGAAAAGCTGTAGAACATATCAACTAGAAAAAGAATACAGTTGATTTGAAACACTCCAGCAGGACATGGTGTCACACTCTCTGGGGGTAAGTTGTCACTCTTGAAACCTTAGTGAAAGCTATTTCAAGAGTTTTCAGCTACATTTAGTACAGTAGAACAATTATGAAACACAAAATGAAATGAAATGCCCCAAAATGCACAAGATAGAATAACATACATAAATATCAAACCATTATTTTGGATATCTAATATCATTTTAATTAATAAAGAAAATTACAAAATGTTAAACCATGTGACAGCCTTCACTGTAAAAATGTGACATTTTGATGAAACATATTTAATACAATTTCTTAATATTCTCCCATGCATCAAAATTAATAAAACATTCAATTCAATAGTTAAATTTTTGGGTTAAAATCTATTTTAATTTTATACTTGAACCCTTGTCTAAATGTAACCCATGCTGTATTTTACAGCAAAATAAAGTGTTACTGTTATTTTAATTTGGAGCATAAAATCTTTGCAATTAAAGATAAATGTGAAAACTAGCCTGTGTCTGTCTAATGGGAATATAAAATGTCTGGTCTCACTTTACATTCATGTCCATGATTTCATTAGCAATTAATTGCATGCTTAATATGACATATTGCAATAGTAACTAATAAGCCTTTGTTTACATATGATATGTTTAATACCTGCACTGCATGTAAAGTGTTTCCAATGCTTTGCTAATAGTGCTGAAACTGTAACCCACACACCTATGGGATGCTGCTAGTTGGCGTAATCCCATTAGGAAGATGGCAAGATGGTAAGAAGAGACAGAGAGTGTGTTACGTGCGCCCTGACACGTGCATTAATTCATGGAAAAGGTTTTGCAATATAAAGAATAAACACCCTTATGTTTGCAAATTTGCATTTGCCTGAAGATAACCGAAATATCAAGTTTGAAATTCACAGTAATTCACTTTAGATTACAAGGGATATTTCACATTTCACTTTGAGAACTTTTGTGATATTGATTTATCAATCAGGTTACTGCATTTTAAAAGTCATGCTTATTTGCTATTGCTGTTGTGTTTGGTTAATATTTTCTTCATCTGTGTTCATGAGAGAGGAATGGATTGAGAACTGACGCTGTGCTTGTAGTAGGTCCCATTGGCTTGTACATTCAATTAGTTAAATGAAATAGCCTTGTAGTGTCATTATAAGTAAATTCCTTCAATCATGTATAATTCCATTAATGGAAAAAGCTTTTAGACTGGTAGGATTGGCATGTAGAGCTTATCTCATTGCTGAAAATCTTCAATGATAGACTGAATCAATAGTTCGTAATGGGGTAATTTCCATTTCATTTCAATTGATGCTTTCGAAGATTTTACATTACTTGAGTCTAGCACCCTGGAGGAAAGTAATATGTATTTAAAAGTCTTATAGCAAAAATGAGCCTCTGTGAACTGCTGCTATCAGGAAATGAGCTAAAAAAGGACAAACCAACCAAACTGTACAGAAACTACATGGATGATTAATCACTAGTCTAACCTCTCTAACGCCAACTGACTTGAATGGAAAATGTAGTCTGGCAGTAATAACAGATTGTAATTCACTTGTCAGAAATGTAATGGAACCATAATAAAGTACTTTCTCCATGTCACATGACCACTTAGTGCTCATCCAACACAGCTGAGACTCTACAAAGTCAGTCTGACCACTAAATATTTGGATTTCCATCATGCAGTGACTGAATGCATTCATCTGCCTACTGTTTTGAATATCCATAGCAGGTTGCCACTAGTTACGCTAGCATGGCAAAGTGTTGCTTAAAGTCACTAATTTTCTCGTCCTGTACTATATTTGGCTGATAACCACAGGCAGTAAAAAGATCTCACATATCTGAAAATGACAGGACGCTGCAGACCCGGAGGTTATAAAATGACATCTCAATGTGCACATCCATGAATCATAGGAAATGTGCGCAGAATGAATAAACACGGCAAACACTGACAAAATTTTACTCAGAGATTCGCATACACGATAAAATGGTGTGTAATGATGAAAGCTCGGGCATTTTAATATTTTTGTTTCTTGTAAACATGGTGAAACTAAACATTGGTGCATATTACATTTTAAGAGAATTGGGTTTTTTCCAATAGATATCTATGAGAAAACTTTTGCAGATTTTAAATGAGTATGTGCAGAGTGGGTGACATTTTCATCTGGAGATTTGGATTTTTGTTCGCCTTGTTTACTGAAGCTCAGATGTTTGGTCAGGCAATGTAAATAGCATTGCAGTTTTCCAAGAAGTGGTTTTAGGCATCTGGCTCTGTAGTGACATGAACATTCCTGAGGTTTTCCGTCAGGATATCATCCAATTCAAACCTATCTACATTTAGGGACACAGTAATTCAGGTCTAACCGTTTTTCCCTCACTTGGATATACTCTTTGCCATTGGATTATATGACAGGCCTCTACATTATGGACTCCGAGCTTCTAGTTAGCTGGTGCAGTGCTGTTATAACAAGCTTCTTCTGAAAGACAGCATACTTGTCTCCTGCTGCACCACATCTGAGGTGACATTGTCTCAATTCTGTACCGAAATTCAATATTCTCCCTGTGCAGTCACGCTGCTGCTCCTCACAGGGCAGATAAACAGCTTGAAGTGTTCTCCAGATGTGTTATTCTACTCGTTTGGCCTTGAGGAACATGTGGTGATGTGGGAGTCGCTGTGACTCAGTCTGTGGAAGGTGCTTCGACTATGTAAAAGAAGTCTTTTAAAGGTTGTGTACATAATTTAAGTTACAATATGTTAAAAAATAAGTGTCATTTTGTATATATATTGGCACAACCAGTGGTACGAGTTTAGGGCGGGGCTATCTGCTTGTCCGACCAATGGCAGATCAGGGGAGTAATAAGGAAAATAGTTTCAAAATGTTTAATTTTAACCAATTAAAGGGGTCATATGATGTTGCTAAAAAGAACATTATTTTGTGTATTTGGTGTAATGAAATGTGTTTATGCGTTTTAAGGTTCAAAAAACATTATGTTCCCCATCCTGTACATTATTGTTTCTCCTCTATGCCCCGCCTTTCTGAAACGCGTCAATTTTTACAAAGCTCATCGGTCTGAAAAGCGAGGTGTGCTATGATTGGCCAGCTATCCAATGCGTTGTGATTGGCCGAATACCTCAAGCGTGTGACAGAAATGTTACACCCCTTACCATACTGTGATGCCGTGTCCCGGCCGGAGCGACGAAAAGCAAAACATTAAAACACATTATAAACGAGGCATTTGTTGCATACAGTGGGGACATAATTACGGATTATAATGACTTATACTGTCCTTTTACGCATCGGTGGGCTTGCGGCAAACACATGTGATGACCCCGGGCTGGACTCCACTTCGTCCACGGTGAAAGCCGATTTCATGTTGATGTTCATGTCATGTTGACTGAGGTTTCAAGTTGATGTATTTCCTCAGCGACCAGCACGGATCAGCTCCAGGCATGACGAAGCGGATATCGTCCTCTTTTGGAAGGCCAAACAAAGTAGTTTCGCTTT